GAGGCTGAGGCAGGAGAATTGCCTGAACCCAGGAGGCAGAGGTTGCGGTGAGCTGAGATCGCGCCATTGCACTCCAGCCTGGGTAACAAGAGCGCAACTCCGTCTCAAAAAAAATAAAAATAAAAATAAAAAGTAGGACTGGAGCCATCCCAAGCGGGATATCTCACGGCTGCTGTCTCAGCTGGTCCGGAGGCTGAGGCAGCAGAATCACTTGAACCTGGGAGCTGGAGGTTGCAGTGAGCCGAGATTCTGCCCCGCACTCTAGCCAGGGTGGCAGTGAGAAGAGCGAGAAAGAGAGAACCAGAGGGAAAGGGAAAGGGAAAGAAAGGCAAGGAAAGGAAGAAAAAAGGAGGGAGGGAGGGAGGGAGGGAGGGAAGATGGAAGGTAGGGAGGGAGGGAGGGAGGGAAGGAGGAAGGGGACTGGAGAGAAGATGAAGAGGAGGATGAGGTGGGAATGTCGGTTGTTCCTGGCTTTCAGTCTGTGTTGTATGCAATTCAAGAACTGTCCAGGGAAGGAGCTAAAGGAACGGGGATGGACGGGGATGGGTTGGCGTTGGGTGGCTAGGGAGGTGCAGGTGGGACTGCGCTTTGGGGCGGGGATGGGGACAAAGACAGAGGCAAGCAGGGGCTCCTCCAGGGTCCTCCCTCCACCCAGGTCTACTCCAAGACCAACTTCGCCAACCTGCTGGGGGGGCTACAGAGCATGGTCCGGGAGGGGGGCCTCCGCTCCCTGTGGCGGGGCAACGGCATCAACGTGCTGAAGATTGCTCCTGAGTACGCCATCAAGTTCTCCGTATTCGAACAGGTGGGGAGTGAGGGGTTTGCTTCCCCCAGCTCAAGCCCAAACCCCTCCTGTACCCCACAAAGTCCAAGCCCGTGTTCAAGACGCACGTTCACCCTCCAGAGCCCAGGCCTCTTTCCTGCATGGGTTTTGTGTGGGAGGGTGCCCGGCTTCTCTCTCACCCTCCTCTCCTGTCCCAGTGCAAAAACTACTTCTGTGGAATACAAGGGTCTCCGCCCTTCCAGGAGCGTCTCCTGGCCGGCTCCTTGGCTGTGGCCATCTCCCAGACCCTCATCAACCCCATGGAGGTAAGAGAACATCTGGCCCACAGGTGAGGAAACACCATGGAAATTAGGTACCCAGGTTGCTGGGGCTACTTCTGCCTTCTCCTTCCTCCCGGCCTCCTTCCCTCCTCCTCCCCTTCTCCTCCCCTCCTCCTCCCCTCCTCCCCCCCTCCTCCCCTCCTCCTTTCTCCCTCCTCCCCCTTCACCTGTTCTTCCTCCGGCTCCTCTCCTCCTCCCTTCCTCCTTTGTGCCTCCTTCTCCCCTCCTCTTTTCTCCCTCCTCCTCCCTTCCTTCCCCCTCCTCCTCTCTTCTCCTACCTCTCCTTCCTCCCCTTCACCTTTTCCTCCTCCTCCCCTTTCTCCTTCCTTTCCCTCCTCCCCTTCATCTCTTCCTCCTCCTCCCCTCCTTCCTCCTCCCCTCCTCATCCTCTCCTCTTTCTTCTCTTCTCCCTCCTCCCCTCCACCTTTCTCTCCTTTCTCCCTCCTCCTTCTCTCTGCTCCCTCCCCCTTTCTCCCTCCTCCCCCTCACCTCTTCACTGCCCGAAGGAGCCTCTGTTCTCTACCTATTCACTCCCTTTCTTTTCCCCCCAACCTTGATCTTTTTGCCATAAAGTTTTGCCCACCTCAGCCTCCCAAAGGTCTGGGATGACAGATGTGAGCCTTCTTCCCTCACTCTCTTGGCCTTTGCCAGCATTTGTGCGTCAGAACTCAAAATTCAGAGAGCATCCCAGAGAATCTGACGGATCCGGGTCTGAAACCCAGCTCTTGGCCTTCCTGAGCCTCACGTTCCTTGTTTGTAGGGTGGGGACAATGGCCACCCCTGAGGGTCACTGACGGGATTTAATCAAAGGAGCTGCCTTGTTCCCCACCATCCCCAGGTTCTGAAGACGCGGCTGACCTTGCGCCGGACGGGCCAGTACAAGGGGCTGCTGGACTGTGCCAGGCAGATCTTGGAGCAGGAGGGCACCCGCGCCCTTTACCGCGGCTACCTCCCTAATATGCTCGGCATCATCCCCTACGCCTGCACGGACCTGGCCGTCTATGAGGTATGGCTCCTGCAGAGGGGGTGGCGGGGACCACCAAAGCCCAGGCTCCTGGTGAGATTTCTCCTGGCCCCCTTCTCTTGCAGATGCTCCGGTGCTTCTGGCTGAAGTCAGGCAGGGATATGGGGGACCCCAGCGGCCCGGTCAGTCTGTCATCTGTGACGCTGTCCACGACCTGTGGCCAGATGGCCAGCTACCCACTGACTCTGGTGCGCACCAGGATGCAGGCCCAAGGTCAGCCAGCGCCCCCACCCCCCAGCAGCCACTGCGCATGCCCCTTCCCCGCCCCGCCCGGGTGGTCTCAATTTCTCATCCTCCAAAACCGAGTCCCACACCCTGCCTGTCTGATCCCCGCCCACCTTCGATGGCTTATTTGGGTGGAAACACCTGAAATCTAACAGATTTGGGGACTGTGCGCAGGGCTAGTGTGGGGACACTTTTAAGAGTGGTGGATGAAGGACCTATTTTGAGATTGGTGGATTGTTTTGGGGGACTGAGTCCATTTGAGGCAGTCAGATTTGATTTTTTTTTTTTAAGACAGAGTCTCACTCTGTTGCCTGGGCTGGAGTGCAGTGGCACAATCTCAGCTCACTGCAATCTCTGCCTCCTGGGTTCAAGCAATTCTCCTGCCTCAGCCTCCGGAATAGCTGGGATTACAGGCATGCGCCACCACGCCCAGCTAATTTTGTATTTTTAGTAGAGACGGGGTTTCACCACCTTGTTCACGCTGATCTCGAACTCCCGACCTCTGGTGATCCACCCACCTCGGCCTCCTGAAGTGCTGGGATTACAGGCTTGAGGCACCATGCCCGGCCTTTTTTTTCTTTTTTGAAGTGGAATCTCACTGTGTCGCCCAGGGATGGGATCTCAGTTCACCGCAACCTCTGCCTCCTGGGTTCAAGTGATCTCCTGCTTCAGCCTCCCAAGTACCTAATTTTTGTATTTTTACAAATTAGCCCAGATCATTTTTGTTTATTTATTTATTTATTTTATTCACCTGGATGCAGGTGGGCTAAGGCCGAATAGGGTGTTCGCCTATTTATTTATTGAAATGAAGTTTCGCTCTTGTTGCCCAGGCTGGAGTGCAGTGGCACGATCTGTGCTCACTGAAAACTCAGCCTCCCAAGTTCAAGCAATTCTCCTACCTCAGCCTCCCGAGTAGCTAGGATTACAATGCACATGCCACTATCCCCGGCTAATCTTTGTATTTTTAGTAGAGACGGGATTTCACCATGTTGGTCAGGTTGGTTTCAGACTCCTGACCTCAGGTGATCTGCCCTCCTCGGCCTCCCAAAGTGCTGGGATTACAGGTGTGAGCCACTGCCCCTGGCTGGATTTGGGGAGTTCCCAGGATTACAAGGGAAATGGCAATGAGTTTTAAGGAACCCATGAAGACTTACTGTACTCACCTAAAAATCTGACCCCAGCCCTAAAATTTACCCTAATAAAAATCACTAAAACTGGCCAGCCTCGATGGCTCACACCTGCAATTCCAGCACTTTCAGAGGCCAAGATGGGCAGGTCACCTGAGGTCAGGAATTCAAGACCAGCCTGACCAACATGATGAAACTCCGTCTTTAAAAAAAAAAAAAAATGTAAACTAAAAACGAATCAATTTCTTCTAAGACTCTTCAAAACCCCTTTCCTACTGACCCCACGGCCCCTACCTGTGGCTTCAGCAACTGCCCAAAACATTCCAGACTTCTAGGAGGCTGGGTCATCACTGGTCTAGTCCTGATCTTGCCTGTGTCCCTGCAGACACCGTGGAGGGCTCGAACCCCACCATGCGCGCAGTCTTCCAGAGGATCCTGGCCCAGCAGGGCTGGCTAGGGCTGTACCGAGGCATGACCCCCACGCTACTGAAGGTGTTACCAGCAGGTGGCATCAGCTATGTGGTGTACGAAGCCATGAAGAAAACCCTGGGCGTATAGGCTGTGAGCTGGACGACAGCCTAGGCTGAAATGGGATAGGTGGACCTGATGACCCCTGGCCCCAAAGAGCCCGCAAGGCCTCAAGACTCAGGCCCTGGAGCAGTTTTTGGTGGCAAAAGCAGGCTCGGGGTTGCCGGGGGAGCTGCTGGGTCAGAAGATTCCTAAGGCTCCCTCCCCAGGATGTAGCCTGAGACAAGAAACTTCGACTCCAGTCTGGGTCTTTGTGGGTCGACCTGGCTCCAGGGTGGAATGGTGAACATGGCAGACAACCAGGAATAAAGAGATGGTTTTGGCTGAAAGTGTCTGGATACCTGGGCCTAGGAGTGGAAATGGGTGCATGAGATCCCTGGATCCAGCAGGAGAGCTGGGGACCTTAGGACTCTGGGTCCTGAATGGGAATTTGTGTCCAGGAGAGGAGATAGGACCTAGGATAGGAGCTTGAGGCTTGGATCCCAGGGCCTTATGCGAAGGGAGTAAGGGGTGTGAAGTGAGGGGCTGCGATGCCTCGATCCAGGTTGTTGTGGA